GACCAAAAAAGCAATTGTCTAGCTGCCCTCAGATTATATAGTATGTATGTACCAAAGAAACTGTACCTTTAACTGTAGTAATAGCCTTCCCACCCAGCACTGCATCCTAACTCAAAGATGTTCCTTCATATAACCCCCAACAACAAAAACCTAAATGCACCCCTCTAACGTGCCTCTTAGAAAGATTAGTTGAACAACGAACTGCACGTATACTAAAGTAAATGTTAAAGTGGGTTACACCAGCAGCAAACTTTCCAGAAAAATGAACCTGGGCATATTTTATTTGGATTAAGTTGCTTTTTAAGGTGTCTGAACATCTGTGTAAGGTTATGGAAATAAAGTGAATCAAACTACTGTTTTTTAGCCTCCCATTCTCAAACTCCTACTAATGGCACTAGAGTCTCCAGATCACGATACCTATTACTACTTCAGAAGGGTTCTGGTGGTGACTTCAACATCACAAATGGGGAATCTGACTAGTCTAAATAGGTGGTGGCTCTTTAAGTCCTGAGGCCGCCCAACAACTGAGTCCCAGTGTGACTTTCAACTAAGTGTTTCCTAGCCTACATGCCCACCAGGGTCTAGTAACAGTCCCACAGATGTGACCTGACCACACCTAGAGCATGGGCGCCTGCACAAAAAGACAGCTGAGCTACCATTGGGGGAATTGTGAGTGCTCAGTAATTTAGAGGGGTTAGGGATCCAGAACAAGGGCTTGAAGCCAGCTCTCCCACAGCTAAAGTGAGTGCCCTACCCTGTAAGGGAGTGTCTCATTTTTCCTACCCTTGCATGGGCAGCTAATTGCAGGAGAAGAATGTTCATGGCTGAAAAGCCAGAACACCATGTGACGTTTCCCTTTGGGCCCTCAGTGAAGTGCCTAGGGCTGCAACTCCCATTAAACTAAGTGCCTAAATACCTTTGAAGAGCTGGCCCTGCCCCTTTGCTCTGCATTTTGCTCCTATTCAGCTGGCTGGCTTCTGAGAATCCCTTTCTTAGGGCTTGCCTTCATGTACAGTGCTATAGCTGCACCTGTGTAGCTGTAGTGGCGACGCTTCTGTCAGTGTAGTTAGCTACTGCCTCTAGGGAGGTGGATTAGGTCCATGGGAGAAGCTTTACCATCACCATAGTACTGTCTACAGTGGGGATTAGGTTGGTATGACTGGGGCACTTGGGGGTGGATTTTTGCCACCCCTCGAGCAATGTAGTTATACTGATGTAATTCTGTAGTATAGACCTGGCCTCATACAATGGAGGGGGAACCTGAGTGTCTAAATTAGGACTGAGAACTCCCTTAGGCAGCAAGCTACTTAAGAGTTAGGTGATTTTAGTGTACTCTACACTAAGGGCTAGTGGCAGTGGTTGAGTTGGAGATAATTCACAATAGGAGAGGACCACCCACCCAGTCTCATCTACAACCAAGCCCTTACCACCAGCTGTGAATTTTTTCCTGTATTTCATAACTGCGCCAAACTCTTAAGCCTCAGTGCAAAACTCCAAATTAAGACCTGAGGTAAGGGAGGGAGTAGTTTAAGCTATGTGTAAAGTAGACTGAGCAACATTTCAAAAACTGCCTGCGTTAAATTAGTTTTTTAGTTTCCAGCCCCAGCTGCTGTCCAGTGTGTGACATGCAGAACAGGGGTAAAAGCAACCACGTGCTGTGGAATTGCAGCTTATCACTGCATGGACACTTTTCCATGGTGGAGAACGTTCTGATACAGTGAGGAACAGGAACTGGAGGGAGCTGATGCTAGTGTAATGTTTCACTTACGAATAAGGCTATACTTTAATTTGCCATATAAAGCTAGGTCTGTGTACCATGCTGGGACTGTGCAGCAGGTGAAATATGCAAAAGGAATGCTAAGTTGCAAGGTCGATGTACCTTCCCCCATGTTAGAGAGACAAGGTGGATGAGACAAGGTTTCAATCTACACCAGAACTCTTCAGGTTACCAACAGAAGTGGGTCCAATAAAAGCTAATACCTCACCCACCTTCTCTAATATCCTGGGACCTGCACAGCTCTACCACTACATTTCCCCATATTGTCATTTTACATCTGTTCAAACTGCATAACACTACAACTCTTAGGCAGTAGCTTACTTGTATTATAAAACTGAGCCACTGTTGATGTCAGTATGTGGTTCAACTGACCAGGGTAGTGGAACAGTGCTGCAGTGTGGAGGCACAGAACACACTTTGGGCTAGATTCATAAAGGGACTTCAGATATTAAAGCTGTAGCAAAATACCTACAGTTTAGGTGCCTAGAAAAATCACTGGGATATAAGCCTTGGTTAGGTGCATATACAATGACTGGGAAGAAATAGGATTCACAAAAGCCTGCTGAGCAGAGAGACACCTGAGCTAGGCCATGGTATAACCCACATGCCTGCTGGGTGTGGTGTTCTGTCCCATTGGGATCACTTAGAGATTAAGGACTCTGCTCTACAGCCTTAGATAAACAGCCATATGGCTTTTAGCTCATGCACTAAGTTCCAGAGGTCCCAGGTTCAATCCCACCCACCGATGACCAGGGTGTTACAATGGCAGACGATGAGAGGTGTGTGTCCTACAACCAACCCCTCTTCCACAGTCCAGACTGGAGGGAGGCACCTATCTCTGCTTGCAACCCTGAGCCAGGAACTTAAGCCATTTCTTGTAAGAACCACCAGAGTCAGAACAGGTGGTGGTGGCGGCTAGGTCTCATACCTTTTCTAACCCAGCCTGTTGGAGACCCACCGGCACTGTAGATAAATAATTAGAAAGTCACTGAGTTAGGGAAAAGTGAGTCAGTGGCTCATGTGGTGGGTACAGCACTCAAGTGGGAGGCCCAGATCTAGACCTACTGTTCCAGCAAATATTTATACACCTTTGGAATAGTTTTTACTTCCATCCTAAAACCTCTGCTGAATGTTCTCATGGGATATCAGCCACTAGCTCAGCAGTTCTCAAACTGTGGGTCATGACCTCAAAGTGGATGACAACCGCATTTTAATCAGGGCTGGCGTTAGATTGGCTGGGGCCCAGGGACAAAGCTGAAGCCTTGGCCCTGGGCGGCGAGGCTCAGGCTTTGGCTTCAGCCCTGGGTTGCGGGACTAAGGGAACAGGCGGTGAGGCTCGGGTGGGCTCAGGCCTCGGTTCCACTTCCTGGGGCTGTGTGGTAATTTTAATTGTCAGACGGAGGTTGCGGTGCAACGAAGTTTGAGAACGGAGTTATGCCCTTCTCCATGCTTGACTGAGGCTACAGTGAAGACACTGGCACTTTATTAGGAAGCGTACGTAAAATCTGTATCGAGCTAAAGCTGGATGGTAAAAGAGTCAGTTCATAACACCTAATGCATATTGCTTGCTATTTCCCCCCACCGTTTATGAACACAATAGTATTGCCAATTGATGCGTTTACTCCCTGAGCTGTTTTCTTTTACAATTGTGGCTTTTAAACATCTAATAAACTCTTCTTAAATTCCCAATTTTCATTTTCATCTTTCTAATTGCTTCCTCCCACTAATTGTGCATATAATTTTCCTCAGCCCTTTTGCAGCACCAAGGCTATACATTACTAGTTGGGATTGTCCTCCGTGCCCCTAGGGCATTGGTCACCATCTGGGGACTCCCCCGCCAGTCCCAGAAGCAGCCAGCATGCTCCTGTCGGGAGATGGGGTGGAGGGGGGGGGGGTGGCTAGGGGTCTCCGACCTGCTCCTGACTGCAAGCACCGCCCCACAGCTCCCATTTGCCAGGAACAGGGAGCTGTGGGGCG